CCCGCCGGCTTGTTCTCCAATCCCAGGTTGTGCTAGATGTTCACACTGCTGCAGGTCCTGCTTGGCTGCACTTATTTGTTATCCATTTGATGCCTACATTCTTGCCTTGGCTCCTGTATGCTGTTAATCAAGATTTTTTAGAACGTAAGTGTATGTTTAATTGGTGTCTTTGTGGTTTAGCTAACTTCTGAACCTTGCACTCTGTACATAACGCATCCCTGAATCCTGCACTCTGTACGTAACGCATCCCTGAATCCTGCACTCTGTACGTAACGCATCCCTGAATCCTGCACTCTGTACGTAACGCATCCCTGAATCCTGCACTCTGTACGTAACGCATCCCTGAATCCTGCACTCTGTACACAACGCATCCCTGAATCTGCACTCTGTACGTAACGCATCCCTGAATCCTGCACTCTGTACGTAACGCATCCCTGAATCCTGCACTCTGTATGTAACGCATCCCTGAATCCTGCACTCTGTACGTAACGCATCCCTGAATCCTGCACTCTGTACACAACGCATCCCTGAATCCTGCACTCTGTACGTAACGCATCCCTGAATCCTGCACTCTGTACGTAACGCACCCCTGAATCCTGCACTCTGTACGTAACGCATCCCTGAATCCTGCACTCTGTACACAACGCATCCCTGAATTGCACTCTGTACGTAACGCATCCCTGAATCCTGCACTCTGTACGTAACGCATCCCTGAATCCTGCACTCTGTACACAACGCATCCCTGAATTCTGCACTCTGTACGTAACGCATCCCTGAATCCTGCGCTCTGTACACAACGCATCCCTGAATCCTGCGCTCTGTACGTAACGCATCCCTGAATCCTGCACTCTGTACATAACGCACCCCTGAATCCTGCACTCTGTACGTAACGCATCCCTGAATCCTGCACTCTGTACACAACGCATCCCTGAATCCTGCACTCTGTACGTAACGCATCCCTGAATCCTGCACTCTGTACGTAACGCATCCCTGAATCCTGCACTCTGTACGTAACGCATCCCTGAATCCTGCACTCTGTACGTAACGCATTCCTGAATCTTGCACTCTGTACGTAACACATCCCTGAATCCTGCACTCTGTAGGTAACGCATCCCTGAATCCTGCACTCTGTACGTAGCGCATTCCTGAATCCTGCACTCTGTACGTAACGCATTCCTGAATCCTGCACTCTGTATGTAACGCATTCCTGAATCCTGCACTCTGTATGTAACGCATTCCTGAATCCTGCACTCTGTATTTAACGCATCTCTGAATCCTGCACTCTGTACGTAACGCATCCCTGAATCCTGCACTCTGCATGTAATGCATCCCTGAATGCTGCACTCTGTACATAACGCTTTCCTGAATCCTGCATGCTGTACGTAACGCATTCCTGAATCCTGCACTTTGTACGTAACACACTCCTCAGTCCTGCAGTCTGTATGAAACGCACTCCTCAATCCTGCACTCTGTACGAAACGCACTCCTCAGTCCTGCACTCTGTACATAACACACTCCTCAATCCTGCACTCTGTACATAACGCACTCCTCAATCCTGCACTCTGTACATAAAGCACTCCTCAATCCTGCACTCTGTACATAACGCACTCCCAATCCTGCACTCTGTACATAAAGCACTCCTCAATCCTGCACTCTGTACATAACGCACTCCCCAATCCTGCACTCTGTACATAACGCACTCCTCAATCCTGCACTCTGTACATAAAGCACTCCTCAATCCTGCACTCTGTACATAACGCACTCCCCAATCCTGCACTCTGTACATAACGCACTCCTCAATCCTGCACTCTGTACATAAAGCACTCCTCAATCCTGCACTCTGTACATAAAGCACTCCTCAATCCTGCACTCTGTACATAAAGCACTCCTCAATCCTGCACTCTGTACATAACGCACTCCCCAATCCTGCACTCTGTACATAACGCACTCCTCAATCCTGCACTCTGTACATAAAGCACTCCTCAATCCTGCACTCTGTACATAACGCACTCCCCAATCCTGCACTCTGTACATAAAGCACTCCTCAATCCTGCACTCTGTACATAACGCACTCCCCAATCCTGCACTCTGTACATAAAGCACTCCTCAATCCTGCACTCTGTACATAAAGCACTCCTCAATCCTGCACTCTGTACATAACGCACTCCTCAATCCTGCACTCTGTACGTAACGCACTCCTCAATCCTGCACTCTGTACATAACGCACTCCTCAATCCTGCACTCTGTACATAACGCACTCCTCAATCCTGCATTCTGTATGAAATGCACTCCTGAATCCTGCACTCTGTGCGTAATGCATTCCGTAATCTTCCACACTTTGTGTAATGCACTCTTCCACAGTATTAAACAAATCCATTTGTAATGGAAGCTTTTTATTCTTTTTTTTAATTGTTGGATTGGGGTTTGTGTTCGTGAGACTCTTGCTTGCAGCACAGCAATCAAAGCATATTTTATAAGTACAAGGAAGCCCGGGTTTTGTTTAACCATGCCCCTTAGGCCCCTCCCACTAGTAAATATTTGATCACACCCAATTTTGCCAGGGCGCACTACGCAAGCCACAGGTCACTTCCTCCCTCAAGTGTCCCTCATGCTGAAGTTCAAAAGTTTGGGAGGTATAGTGCATCTATCTGCCATGGCTCCCTTCTGAAAGACTGTGCCTTTTTGGTGATATGGATGGTTTGTGTACAAGGTTACCAGCCTCCTCCTATACTATTTCATGTTGATTTAGATATACTGTTGTTATGACATTAGAAGTCAGGTACTCTTTTTTTTTTTTTCTTTTGTCATGGAGCACTCCATTGGAGTGGTTTGTGTCCAGGGTTTTTCGGCATCAGGTGTCAGTGTCTCAGATTACTAAGCTTCTACCTGGTCGTCGGTCCATGACTTTCCCAAGTTTTACAAGGTTTGCTGTTTTGTCATCTTCAGATGTGTGTTTTGACTGCAAGATTTTGCAGGCTACAGTTTGAGGTTTCTGCTCCCCTCCAGGGGGGTTCTGTGGGTTTTTGTCTTGGTTTCCCAAGCACATCATACAGTATTTCTAGCACAACAGTGTAACATTTTTAAGTTCTAAGCCACTGGGGAAGTGTGTATGTATTACAGATATATGAACATTTTTATTGTTTTTTTTTTTGCCTTGACATATTTTTTTAATGATGCCCAAACCTTGATCCTGGTTTGTACGATTCTATCTGAGGATGACTTATGACATGCGGAATAGTTCTCCCATTTTTTCTTAGAGCGGTATTAAACCCATAACCAAAAATGTAATATACTGCATCTTACAAATCATTAGATGTGGTGGCTGCATCACTTTTCTTTTCTTAGGCTTTTTTTCCCTGTTGTTTTTCACCTGATGATCTGTCCAGTAACGCTCCTCCTGTATGCAAGTGCCTACACAGGGACACCTTTGGACAGCAGTGTTGTCAGTCTTGGGGGGGGGGGGGGGAGATATTGGGGAGTTTGAAGCCAAACTCCAGCTAATATATTATAGGTAGGTACATCAAATGTTTTTGTGGGGGGTTTACATAAAAAAAAGCTAATTACTGTAAGCACCATTATCAGTGTTAAATGGTTTGTCTTGTCTCTGCAAAAAATGGGCGCATTCTGCTGGAGAGCTTGTTCTTTTGAAAAGTAACAGACTTACTGGCTGGATCTCCAGACGAAAATAGAAGAAAGAAAGCTTTCAATTGGTACTCCACCCAAAAGGGAAATTTACGCTTGTCTGCCTCCTCCCCCCCACATTTTGAGAAGGGGGGGGAGCAGGTACCTGGTTTTGACAGGTACCTGCTACCACTTCCAGGTCAGATCGGCATGGCAATCTGAGCCAGAAGCCCCCCCCCCCCAACCCCTGCAGCCTTCTGGAACACTTCACAGTTCCCAGAAGACTGTGGCCCATTCACAAAGCACAGCATGCTTTACGAATGCGCAGTAGGAAACCTGCTGTGAATCCACAAGGCTTTTCTTCCGGGTTAGCTTACTGAAGATGCTGGCGTCAGCACAAAAAGCCGATTAAAGAATTGGCTCGGGTGAGGACATTGCTGGACCCCTTGGACAGGTAAGGGCCCTTATATTAAAAGTCAGCAGCTACAGTATTTGTAGCTGCTAAATTTAAATTTTTTGGGGGGAAGCCCAGAGCTCCGCTTTAAGAAAATAAATACTATCACATGTAAGAAATGGTAAGCTGCAATATAATAAATGTTTGCTTTTGGGTTAATGCCAATTTAATAACATTTAGACTGAAAGTGAAGGGTATCGCAAAGTCCACTCTTTATATAAGTAGATGAATGGGGATCCAAGCTGAGTTTTAACTCTAGAGAACAGCAGAGAGAAAGAGAAAATGTGTCCGTGTTTTTTGAACTTTAAAAGTCTTCTGACTTTTCTCAGCATCCCTTGTACACACCTTTGCTGAATTTATCTACAAATGTCTTGAGGTGCCCAGAAGAGAGAAAACAATTATTTCAGTTTTTAAATGTTCATTAAACTCTGTTAATTTTGCAAGAAAATTTTGCACAGACTATTTGCCTGTTAGGCTAGCCATACACTATACAATTTTCTGTCCAATTTCTTTTAGAATTACCTTCAACTATGGAGTGCAAGGGCCTGCCTGATTGGATAGAATGGAAAGTGTCATTTAGGTTTGACCTCATATTATATGGTTTTTGGTAAATCTAAAGCAATTTTCTAAAGAAAATTGTAAAATGTATGGTCAGCCTTCATTGTTGTAAGCACTGGGCCATTATGGTAAACACAGCCCAGGCTGATACATCAAGTTTAGGTGGCAACTTTTGAGATTCATTAACCGCTTCCTGCCCGCCATATAGTAAAATGACAGACGCAAGGTGGTTCTTTCGTTCTGGGAGGACGTCATATGACATCCTCCCATTCTAACCGCGCATGCGTGGCTCCGGGAGCGCTCAGTGCGGCGATCGGTGGTGTGCTGTGTCCCTCGGACACAGTGGATCACCGATCAATGGAAAAGAGCCGAAGATGTCGGCTCGGTCATGTGATCAGCTGTGTCCAATCACAGCTGATAACATGTAAACAGAGAATTGCCGGTTATCGGCATTTCTCTCCTCACGAGCTGTCATGCTGACGGCTCGTGAGGAGAGGAGAGCCGGTAATCGACATGTAATGATCAGTGTACCCTGATGATCTGTGTAGCCCCAGCAGTGCCACCTGTCAGTGTCCATCAGTGTCAGCTCTCAGTGCTCATCCATGCCACCTGCCAGTGCCCATCAGTGCCACATCAATGCCACATATCAGTGCCTACCAGTGCACATCAATGCCACATATCAGTGCCCATCTGAGCTGCCTTTCAGTGTCACCCATTAGTGCCAGTCAGTGCCGCCTATCAGTGCCATATATGAGTGCTGCCTTTCAGTGTCCATCAGTGATGCCTGTCAATGCCTATCAGTGCTACCTACCAGTGCCTCCTCATCAGTGCCCATCAGTGCCACCTATCAGTGTCCATCAGAGCAGCCTCATTAGCGCACATCAGTAAAGGAGAAAAATCATTTAGTTACATAATTTTATAACAAAAACTAAGAAAAAACTTTTTTTTATTCAAACATTTCAGTGGTTTTTAGTTTTTAAGAAAAAATTAAAATTCAGATGTGATTAAATCCCACCAAAATAAATCTCTATCTGTCACAAAAAAATGATAAAAATTTCATATGGGTACAGTGTTGCATGACCGCGCAATTGTCATTCAAAGTGCAACAGCGCTGAAAGCTGGAAATTGGCCTGGGTAGGAAGGGGGTATAAGTGCCCTGTAGGCTAGTGGTCAACTCCACATTTTCCATAACACCTCTGTTTAGGGTGTACCATGGTGCAAATGGGAGCTCCACTTGCACAGCCATGTCATTCATTCACAGAAATCTGTGAATGAGCTACACGTTCCCTCTGCCACCACAGCAGACATACTAGTATTTCTCAATAGAATACAAGTACAGTGGAAATCGCACTCGTAGTACATTGACACTACAGCTCTCCAGCTGAAAGCCTATACCTCTCTTCAGCCAAAGAGCTGGAGGAAGAGTCTACAGGAGCATGGCATTGGACCTGCCATCCACTGATTGTGGGTACATTGCTTTACAGGCCTTTGTAAAAAAAAAAAAAAATATATATATATATATATATATATATATACACACACATATTTTTCCCTTCAAATATTTATGCATTTATTTAATTTTGTTTTCTAAAAGATGGATTTAAACTTTAATATGTCTAATATGTCTGTCCTTGCAGGCACTATTCTTTTTAATTTATAATTGTTTGAAGTTCTTGACACTAACACCACAAACAGACTTGTGGTTGTAAAAGGAAGTTTGTGCATCTCTCATCCAGTTGCTGGAATGTTAACTGGTTCCCACCGGCCTACGGCCAAATGGCGGCCGGCAAAAACCCTCACCGTTCCGGTTGAACGCTATATAGTGTCCTTTCGGGCATGCGCAGTTTGCGAGCCTGCAGAGCCGCTCAGCATCGCAATCTGTCACCGGCTGTGTACCTCGGACACGGCCGATGACAGATCTGAGTACCTGCCCCGTTGCTGGTACCATGTGACCTGCTGTGACCAATCACAGCAGGTCACATGACAGTTGTATACAATGGATGGTTTCATTCATGCCATCCATTGTATACTAGTGTGTCTAGCTGAGAATGGTCACAGCGATCACATGCAAAAGCTGGACCAATCACAGCCCAGCTGTGTCATGTGATTTAGCCGTGGCCAAATCACAGCTAAGCACAAAAAAAACCCCCAAAAAAACCCTGAATGAATTGATGTCATTCAGGTAAATGCTTGCTTATAGCAAAGTAATTATTTGCTATAAGCAAAGTGTGTAAAAAAAAAAAAAAAAAAACAAAATACTGATCACTTTCCCAAAGTAGTACAATGTTACCATGGTAACATTGTACTACTTTAGTCATAGTGAAATATGAAAAAAAATCTTAAAAAAAAGAAATAAATGTAATAAAAAATTAAAAATAAAAAAATTTAAAAAAGTATATTTTTTTTTTTCATACTGTCATCAGTCAGTGTCCCTGATCACCGCCATGCCAGTTATATGATGATGCTGTACTGCACTGGTGACAGTATGTAAAAAAAAAATAGTGAAAATAATTTTTTAACTTTTTTTTCATTTTCAGAAAAATTATGAAAAAAAAAAATACAACTTCAAAAAATTCGCCATGCCTCTTATGAAATATTTCTGACTGTCTACTTTGCAAAAAGGGGTCATTTGGGGGATATCTGTACTGTTCTGACATTCTTGGACCTCAAGAAATTAGATTGGCTGTCAGTACTTCAGGATTGATCAATTTTCAGATATATCCCATAGTTTGTGAACTCTATAACTTTCCTACAGACTAAAAAATACATCCTAATTTGGGTTATTTTCACCAAAGACATGTAGCAGAATACATCTTGGCCTAAATTTATGAAGAACAATTATTTATTTGCAAACTTTTATAACAGAAACAAAGAAAAACGTGTTTTTTTTTTTTCAAAATTTTCTGTCTTTTTTTGTTAATTTAGCAAAAAATTAAAAACCCCGATGTTGATTAAATACCACCAAAAGAAAGCTCTAGTTGTGTGAAGAAAATGATAACATTTTAGTTTGGGTACAGTGCTGTATGACCGCGCAATTGTCATTCAAAGTGTGAGAGCGCTGAAACCTGAAAACTGGCCTGGGCAGGAAGGGGGTAAAAGTGCCCTGTACGGAAGTGGTTAACAACAAAAAAAAGTAGTGCTAGAGAAACCACAGGGTGTTGTTGGTCACTGTCATCAATAGGCTGCAAGTTTCATCAACGGCAGCCACTTCTGATGTTTTGGCTAGTACACAAATGAGAAAGCTAGCTACCCAAAATCTGAGATCTTAAATCCAATGGAGAGTCAAAAATGGCAGCGTGTTTTATTAATTGGTGTGAGTAATTAAACAATTTCTTCTTTGCCTAATAAAATAAGATACAGGCTCATTCCAATAGAGCGGGTATCATTTATAAATCTGCAATTAAAAAAAGAAATAAAAACCAAACATCGGAGTTAAGTTTGAGCTGCAGCATGTAGAGTGGTCAAGTAATTGTTGTGGCCAGAGATCATTTTCGGGGTAACCCTTAAGAAGGATGTTTAATAGAAGGATAAGAAGCAGGACTGTCCCTCGTTAGCACTAGTAGCATGCAAGGAGGCACGTTTCAAGGATCTTCACCATCTGCTCAGTGTCACAAGCCTCTCCTGTGCTGAGAGTGTATTTAGACTCCTCCTGGCCTGAGGTTTGTGCTCCAGACATGGACAGCTGCTCAGAGGTCTTAAAGGTCCCTGGAATTCTAGAGACATTTAACAATCTTTCTGTAACCCTCTCGGTACTGAGCAAGATGGTTCACTAATAAAGTTTATATTAAGTCGATTTGTTATATAAAGTCAGAAGGAAAACGATTAAGAAGAACCATGGTAATGATCTGCCCTGTGATTACAATGACAAATAATGAATATGCACAACTAGGATACAAGCAATTAAGAACATGAGTGATGAAGTCTATTCATTGTTTGTGTATGCTATTTCAGTGTCATTTGCATTGCTTGCATCACTCTGGCTAGTTCTCAGGCCAGGAACAACATCTATTGCTGTGTTTTTGTTACTTCCTTTTAATGAAGTGAAAACAGTGCCTTATATCAGCCGCAAATTGTTTTAGTTTGTCCTGGGAAGTACAATTTGTTCTCTGAATGTCCTATCATAGGGGAATAGAATGTCTTCTGCTTCGTGACACATGGGGGATGAAGTGTATTTATTCACTAGAATGAACGCCCTGCTGCTGAGACAGGAGCTACCATATGTTGCCTAGGGCAGATTGGACCTGTCCCAGACTGAGAGACACTTATGCTTTCACATTATCATGGCTCTCCTCTGGGAGGTATACAGTTGGCCAACCTTGCTCACTTTCTTACTGTTGTACGCTGCTATCCACTTGAGGATACAATCTGCATTGTACATCTCAGTGGAAATACACAATTCACTTAATATGCCTTGTTGCATAGAGTAAATACAAATCCAATAGCGCTCCTGGTTTGTTTTAACCTTCTTACCTTGGCAGAGCAGGGATAGATATTGTTAATACTTTGGCATATATATATAAACTTTGGAAGCCCTTTTTTTTTTTTTTTTTACTAAACACCTTTACTTAACCATTCTTACACTGCTATGTCTTTACTGAACAGATTGTATTCATCATGGTAAGCAGCTGATTTGGCCTGCATAGCAGTTAGGAGGTATTTTGTGATAATCATTTTTGGGGAGGAGGTAAAGGGATGAAGGGTTGTTGGATGGCTTACTTCAAATTGCACCAAGGCGGTTTAGGTGGAATTGGGGTCTGGGCTCTGACTTTACTATAGTACATTTCAGAGCTTCATGAGACTTTGAGTCTCTTGTTTTGAAGTATTGAACTGCTGCATTTATAACTTTTGTTGCATTCTCAGTATTTTAGATCAGAGACAAAGTCATTGACATTTTGCTATGCAATTTCCTAATACAGATGAAAATCAGTGGCCTCTGAATAAATGCAAAACAATCTAGCAGCCCCAGCAGCAAAGCATCTCTGCATTATTATACTACTTTCATCATGCTTCACAGTTGGAAAGAGGACTTTGTTATTGTGCAGTAATTTGTCTGCACATGTAGAGCTTTGTACATTAGTTCATGTTACCTCCAGGGGCAGACTGACAACTCATGGGGCCCCTCCTGGCAATAGGGGATCATGGGGCCCCTGTGTCCTTGCCCAAACTCAAAAAAGCCTATGAAAAAGGTACCAGGGGCATCTCATGGGGCCCCCCTACTGACCCTGGGCCCTCGGGCAGTGCCCGACTTTCCAAATGGTCAGTCCGCCCCTGGTTACCTCAGATCTCACCACAAAATATGGTTTCAATGACCATATGATCATGGCATCCATGATTTTGTTATAGTACGCTCTTCAATGTAGGGTATGTAAAGTGAGAGATGTATCTGCAGATTGTGAGCATTCACCAAATGTTTACTTTGAGGATTGTGACGTTTGCCCTTACATTGACCAGTGTAGGATGACAATTCTGTAAACTATCCTTAGGACTGTGGACTGGTGGAAGCTAAAGCCATTTAAAGATTTTGTAACATGATCTTATGTTATGATCTTTGGCAGCACTCCTTCTGGGATCCCCCAAAATCTCTTTCAATTACATTAAATTACATTGGAGTCTTTTGAAGTGCAACCAGTCCTTTCATTAGGCTACGTTCACACAATCCTTTTTAGCAAGTGGCAGACAGGCGTTTAGGAAGCATTTTTATCGTTTCTCAATCGCCTGGGAAAATCCTGCACATTGCAGCACATGGTGCTGTTCAAACGGGGAGCGTTAGCGTCGCAACGGACGCCTCTGGTCGAGTCAGGAGGAGTTGAAGCCTCCTATTCAAGTCTATGGTGTCGCTCCGCAAATGCCCGGCCGGCATTTGCGGTGCGGTT